CTAACTTAATCTGCAGATAGGATTAAGATAATCCCCTATCCAAATACAGATTTGGATTGGGATAACTCCTAATTAGGAGGTTTCTTAATTAAGAAGAAAAGAGGAAAAACCAAACAGAAACATATCAGAATTCGAACCAGGGTTTGTGTGAAAGAACTCTCCCTGCAAATTGAGATTAGATCTCATTCATACTCCAGAGAGAAGAGAAGCAGTTCAGCCATCTTCGTCCCTGGATTTCTCCTCCTGCCGCCGCCATTCCCTCTTACAAGATTCAATCATAGCAGCAATAGGAAGTCAAGAAATCAGTTCTTGACATCAGCCTTGCAGGAAAGACTGAAGAAGATTCGGTGTTCAGAGTTTCCAGAGGATTCTTGCGAAGGATCCAGTGTGTAGGACGCACCCTGCTGGTTCCGTTCCATCCACAGCTGTGTCATCTTCAGCAGGAGCGGATCTTGGTTTCTTCTTTGGGCGTGAACACCAACTTTGGGAGATACTGTTTCTCCAGATCAGGTATATTCCTCCCTTTTTCCTTTTGGTTCAGATCTGGTTCGATTATGGTTCAAGTTAGATCTTTGGATATGGTATTCTAAATTTAGGAAATACGATTCCCAGATGGAAAAAGGTAGAAAATTTTTGAAATTCGCCCACCCATTCTGCAACCGTTTTAGTGTCCCTTAGATGGATCCTACCATTCCTTCACTAGCATCGTATTGGCCGATGTCAATGGTTAAAGATCTCAAGCCTCACTAGCTTTGTATTGGCTTGGTGAGGCTAGAGGGTAGCAAGTCCAAGCCTTATGGCTTGAGGGACCAACTTCATCTGTGGTGTCTTGAGCTAGCTACGAGTTTGGGAGTCTTTAGGTATATATGCGAAGTTGAGATTCGCAATGCTCAACGGAAGTACTATGGTCATGTGTGTACTCGTAGTAGTCTTACACATGCAAATTAGGAGATCATTATATATATGTTACCCTACCCTACCTATATATAATCAATTTGGGTCTGAATCTGTCTAGAACAAGACCAGTTTTGATCCTGTAAATTAAAAAATAAAAAAAATAAAAAATGACCAAAACCTTTAAACACATTGATAGGTCAATGGTTCAATGGATCATTGACAGATTCAACCATCCGGATCAACGGTAATTCAAAAACCATGTATCATGCCCAATATAACGTTTCCAACGGCCAACGTTTTTACTTTCTCAACTATCCCTATTTGAATGTGAAAAAGACGGCCAGAAAGATGGGAAAAAGAAATGTGTAAGGATAAAAAAAAAAAAAAAAAAAAAAACAAGGCGTCACACTCAGTTTAGCCCTTTAATAATTTCAAAGCACAAACTCTCTAAACCATCCACGTTACCACAACCACCCCACTTAATTAGGAGCATGCATTACTTTTCTCTTTATTCTTCTACATTCCACTTCTAGAGTTGGACCGAAGATGGCTCTTCCCATGCTTAAAACACATTTTCAGGTCGATTTTTAAAACCATGGACAATAAATAGCGTCATATGGGCCCTGATGATTCCAACCTATTAAGTATTGTTTACCAAGAAAAAATAAAAAATAAAAACATAATAAATATTAAATTTAATTATAATAAGAAAGTTTCACCAATTCTCTTACCAAAAAATAAGTTTGACCAATTCTTTGGGTCTCACAACCAAGACAATATTCCTAAGAAGTGATAATTCAAAGATCATTTTCGAGTAGGGTGATTGATGTTATTTTGTTGCTGATCAAAGGCCCAATCTAAGATGCCCACATTCCACAATTAATAATACGGCTCTGCACATGCGTGAAGCAATCACAAAAGCTCCATAAGATTTTGTTGTTTCATATATCTTGGATAGGAGACACGAGACATGATCAAGCTGTCTTCTCCCTGGGTTCGGATTTACATGTTTCAGTCCAGTCAATAAACGACTCTACGTCCCGCTAATTAACTCGTTTTCAAGTTGGAACAAAAAAAAAAGGAAACACCCAGTAGATTGAAAAAGAAGAAAAGTAGGAGGCAATATTAAACGACACTAAGGATGAATCTTTCTTAGTTTCAAATGGTTGAATCATTAATCTTTGAATGTCATCATGCCACGATCGAACACTCTAAACCTTTCACACTATATATCGAAAGTTCACAACCACCCCACTCGGGCAGAAGGCTGAAGCATCACTTCTCTCCTCACTACTATAAATATACGTCTAGGATCTACTACTCTAGTATGTATGTGCTCCAAGTAGTGAGGCTAGAGATCAGTAAAGAAGCTCCTCTGGTTGTAGTAGAGTTAAGAAAAATGGCTTCCAACTCAGCCACTTCTGCTGCTGCTGCCATTATCATCTTCTTACTAGCTTCTCATGCTTACATACAAGAAGTACTTGCTGCAGGTGAGTGTGGGAAAACCCCCATTAATGCTGCAGCTGCTAGCTTGAGCCCGTGCGCCACTGCAACTCAAAGTAAGACAGCAATGGTTCCACCAGCTTGCTGCTCGAAGGTATCAGCTTTGTTCAAAATCTCCCCCAAATGCCTCTGTGCTGTTCTGTTGTCGCCCCTGGTAAAGCAGGCCGGAATCAATCTGGGGATTGCCATCACTATTCCTAAGCGTTGCAACATCAGGAACAGACCAGTTGGCAAGAAATGTGGAAGTAAGATTCCAAGAACCCATCTAATGGGCTACAATTAACTTTGTTTATTATGAATATTTAGCTGATCATTAATCAGTTTCTGTACTAGCCTACTGGTGGTTATCAATATAAGGTTGCAAGATCAGAGATATCCCTTGTTCTGAATCACCGACCAGTAGAACAGAGAGACTGATGACCCAAGTTAAAAATGGAATTAAGGGGATGATTCTTATAGTTATTAACTAGTAATGAAGTTTTGTGGGTATAACTAACTTTCTTATTTCTCTTTACAGGTTACACCCTTCCATGAGAACAAGAGTTTGGGATCCGGGTACCAAGAAGAAGTCTTAGTAAAACTTATGTAATGTGAACGAGTTTGTTAAATAGATGCTTCTATGTATGGTGTTGGTCACTCACGTAATGTGACTTACTTTCTTCTCTCTCTCTCTCTCTAGTATGGAAAACTTTACTGGTAGTGATATGAGTTTCTTAGTTTGATGATCAAATTTACAGAGCCCACTTGAAATTTGACTAAGAAAAGTATAAAACAAAGTAAAATGAATGGTCAGCTTAGATGGTTGGCCTTAACCTCTCTCCCAAATCCCAATTGGATCAATTTTGGATTTGGAAGAATTTGACTCTTATATTGGGTAATCCAACCAGTCTGGATTTTGCAAGATGATTCTCATGTTGGTACCTTCACTCATGAATTCAAACTAAGTATTGTCCGGGTGATGTGATATTGGATATATAGTTACAACCATTTGTGTAGTTGCAGATATATCAATTGGCTTTCTATTGCCCTTGGGCACCACAACATTGAGATGATGGCATCAGAAGGGAGCAAATCAGAAAATGATATAAGAACTTGGCCAACTATACGTTAAACTCTTGCTTCATTTCTGAGGAATTTCTTTGGACGGTTAGAGGGCTCTGTATTCCACTAGATCCTGCAAAGGAGAACCTCAATACTGGAATTTTTCCTCCTATTGAAATGACAAAGAACTGAATAGAAAAATAATTTGCAATTTTTGCATTGGTTTACTGATATTCTTAGCTACTCTTATGGGTTCTACTTTGATCTTGGTAACATTTCTAGGCACTAAATGTTGGATGGGTGATGCCTCCATTTTCAACCTTATTGATTTTTTACCCACACACACATAAAAAAGCAAATTAAAAAAATTGAAAATGATTCTATAATATTATATTTTAAATCTATTTTACATCAAAATAAGCTTTAAAGAATAAATGCTAGTGTCAAAAACTTATTAACGCATTTGAATGGGGTAAAGTTTAGTTAGGTTGGCATTGAATCAGGCAACCAGGAATACTGCAACTTGGGTCAGGCCTAACATAAACAAAGATTGGGCTTGGGTAGTCCAAATCCAGCTCAACCCAACCCGAGCCTACTACTGCCGGACATTCTATAACATATAGATAGTTGTGACGTGAGATATGTATATATGCCGTATATTTATACTTTTGTTTACATCTCAAAGTACATGATCAACCTAAGCTTGCACCTAATAAACAAACATCTACAAATACACACATATTATACATGTTATTTATATAAAAATATATATTTTCTGATTATACATATGCATTTATTAATGATAGTCATGTATATTTTTGATCCATTGGGCTATAAAGCCCAAGAAAATGTAGATGTGCAAAATGTGTTGTAGAAATCCTTCGAAACCAACCAAGCCACCTAGGGTTAAGCTTGGCCCGCATTGTGTTGGATTAAGCTTTGGTTGGAATTGTCCTCAGGCTGGATGAGGCCCAAGCCCAAGGACCGAGTCTTAGTGTCGGGCTTGAATTGACCGTCAACCTGACCCAACCTGCCCAAATTGCACTCCTAGTTTCCAGTTCTATCAGCCCAACTGTGAGACTGGTCTCCCATATATCCAATTTTGATACATTGACAAGAGAGCCTTCTGAATCTACGGAACAAAGAACACAACAACAAAGCTCAAAACTTCATTCAATGCTAAATTTGTCCATCATAGTGTCACTACTTTCTAAAGTAGTATCAACTGACATCATTTTTTTAGCCTCAAAAACATAAAAAAAAAAATACAAAATAGTACCCCCCCCCCCCAAAAAAAAAAAAATAAAGATAGATTAAAGGGCCAACGCAAATGGATTTATCAAGCTTGCCAATTCTGAGGGTCTCCATCATTCAGTTGCTAAATATTGCTATAAAAGACTTAGGTTGAACATTTGCTAACTTTTTAAACTGTCTAGCCTCAGAGAATGGGTCCTGATGCTGTTCAAATCGGGTATTCAATTTACATCCCTAACTATTGGTTAGAGCCTTAGAGGTGAGAAGTGGTCGCCCAGACCAGCCCAGAGGCCTGCTAGCCCAACCAGAATTATGGCTTTATTGCTACCAAAACTGAGTTGAGGCCTAGGTCAGGTACCATTATTTGTAATAGAAGCATTTGTCCTTACTAGAAAAGTTCACTGGTTGAGTTGGGTAGAGAGCCACATTTTATATGTCACATTTTATATCTCCTTCAGATGGAGATCTACTGGACTGCCACATTTTCAATTCAACAGTTCAGGTCAGATATATGTCACACCTTTTATTCATCACTTTTTTACTATTAGTAATAACCATTCAATGTTGTGATTTCTTAATAGAAAGAAACCTTACCTAAAGAAGGTTAATTTACACAAATTAATGATGGGGCAGTGGATGAGAGGAACTCAGAGACAACTCTTGTAGCCCAAATTAATTTGTCATATGCAATTAAGATTCCTTGGCCATGTAGGGTTATCTTATCTTAGTTTGGGCTGGCCTCTGGTCTGTCCTACTTGGTTGGGCTTCTAGGCCGAGGACTTACATATATAGACCTAAAGCATCTTGGCTGGCATGGGCCTAGACTGATTTTAACCCATCCCAGATGGGATAGATTCGTTATACTGGCGACTGATCACCATGGAAATACTGTATATTTACTCTAATTTTCATCATTTTCTTATTTGGTTTTATTTTAATATTACTTAAATATTCTTCTCTTTGTTAATTGAGCTGATAGATGGATTTATGAACTCCCTAATGTATCGCCTCTTCCCTAATAAATCACAAGATAATGATCATATGAATGGAAGAGAGCCCTCAACGATCCAACATGAACAGATGCACAGGACTAGTGTCTTAAATGAGGCCACATTAAGCCGAAAGAAACATTTCACATGATCGCAGTGTAGAACATTGTGTCAAAAGGCCCCAATCCAATCTCTAATAGACTTGTTTATTGATTTGGGCTTCGGCCCTCAAAAGACAAAACGAGAGAAGTTTTACATGTTCATTTTCTCTTATTTTCATTAAACATAGCACTCCATTTTTCGGTAAGTTCAAAATGTTCTAAACAAGGAAAATGGATTTAGTTATGGGAGAGCAGTGGATGAGAAAATAAAATAGAAAGATTTGCAAACCTATTTTCTTCATGGTGAAATCTGCTTTGCCCTCCTACATATAGATCTAAGATTGAGAAAAAATGAACAGATTTTTGCAAAATTTTGGGTTTAGATATGGTGATTCAAACAAAATATGACAATTTTAGGTAATCATATTTCTGTTGGAATTTCACAACCTTTTACAAGATTTACAAAGAAAATAATATATATTATAAAAGATATTATAGAATACTGAAATTATTAATTAAATAAAAATAAAAAAAAAAGTCTCCCTCAAAATTCATTATGGGTCTAGTGTTCCGAAATTTTATTGTAATATATTTAATGTTGATATTTTGGTTATTCACATGGGTAATGAAAGGTTACTCCACTAGTATGTGCTTGTCCCAAGCGTAGATAAAGGATGAGAGATGCATTAGGTTGGCACCTAGCACTAAAACTTTTGCCAAACCCTCAAGAATGTGGATTCTAATTTGTCTTTCCATACTCATGCTAGGGCGTTCTCAAAAAATGATATGTTGCAGCTTATCTTGAGTGTAGTGTTAAGTGGGCAAGGGTTTGCTAGGATGGTTCCTGTAAGTGACCTATCATGAAAACATTTAGTTGTGGTGTCAAATAGGCAAGGGTTCTTGCATCATTCTGAATGGGGACCGGTAGAAAAGCTAGTCCAAGAAATGCAACTTTGTTCAACCACTCGAAATGTAGGAATACTAACAGGAAAAACTATGGAATTAATAAACACAATGTCTATAAGAAATTAAGTGGATGGGTAAAAATAGCTAAAGAAATTAAGGGGTACAAATTATGGTATACAGGAGAGGTGAATAACAGAAATAGTCTAGCAGTAATAGTAAATAAAGATTTAAAAAATAAAATTGTAAATGCTTAAAGAATTGGGGATAGAATAATTTTAATTTGACTTATTTTAGAAAAGGAAGTCATTAACATAATTAGTACTTATGCACTTCAAATGGGTTTAAAAAAAGAATACTAAAATGCAAATTTGGAAAAAAACTTAATAGGATTAATCCAAAAAATCCAAATGAAGAGAATACTTTTATAGGAGGAAAGTGAAATATTTAAAGAAAAGAAGTGTAGAATATGATAGGAACATGGAAGATTTAGATTTGGTGAGAGGAATGAATCAAGAGATACAATATTATATTTTATAATAGCTTATAATATGGCAATTTTAAACATCTTTTTTCCCAAAGAAGACCAAAAACTTAACAACATTTAAAAGTAAAAACATGAATGGTGTTTAAAAATTGCAAAGGTATCCTAGGAGAAAGCTTAACATTATAATTTAGACTAGTGATGGTAGATGTGCACATTAGTAAATGGAATAGAAATAGGGAAAAAGAAATATGTGTATATAAGTTAGGTGAAAATACACAAAAGGAGAAAAACTATCTAAATTTAGAAATAAGTTGATAATAGAAGGGAATTGGAATTTAGATGAAAATATTAATGATATATGGCTTGAAATTGCAAACAACATAAAGAAACTAGCAAAGGAGGTGTTAGAAAATTTTAAAAGAAAAAGAAAAAGTACTAAAGAAACTTGGTGGTAGAATAAATAGGTTCAAGATATAATCAAATTAAAATTAAATGAGCATGTTATGAAGAATAACAAAAATCTAAAAATGCATAAAATTGGAAAAAAAATCATAAATCCATAAAAAGGAAGTTAAAAGAAAATGAATGTAGGGCTAAATTAGGCATTAAATTGTAGGACTTATGATGAACTTTACCATAAATTAGGCATTAAAAAGGGAGGAAAAACAATGTATAAACTAACAAAGGTGAAAGAAATTAAATGTAGAGATTTAAACCATTATGTACATTAAAGATAATGATCAAAGAGTCTCGATAAAAGATGACAAAATTAGACAAAGATGAAAAAGCTATTTTGTTTATTGAAAGAACAACAAAGAGAATGTGCTAATGCATGAGATGTTAGCAATACTAATAGTGTTAAAAATAATATATACTTTCGTAGAGTTAGACTTACTAAAATAAAAGAGGAACTAAATAAAAGAG